GTGGTGGTCGGTGAGTGAGCCAGCATCCACACCCAGCAGCAGCTGGAGGTGCAGGGTACAACGTGTTGCCTGAACATTGGGAGGAACAATCCAGGACCTTATCTGGAGCTACAGGAGCATTATCTATGCGGCAGGGACACTCTGCTCTGAAAGGACGAGCATGCCCTGCCCTTGGATCCCTTATCTCGGCGTCTCTGTTGCAGATCCATCCCACCGCCCCACAGGACCACCCCCCGGGGGCCTCTTTGACCACAACCCTGCTAACGCGGCAGCAGATGGAGATGGGACCTGCCAGTCCAGCAAGATCTAAGGCAGGATCAGAGCTCGTGTCCGTGCACAGGTTTTCTACCATTTGCTTCCAACTGCCCTGCGTGCCCAGCCCACACCACGTGCCAGTGCTCTGCGACATGGCAAGACCCTGGTACTGTTGCTACTGGTACTTTCCCAGTATCCCTAGTATGATTCCTTCCACTCCCTTGGCACACAAACGGTCCTGCCCTGCCCAATGCTGGGGGATCCCCAAGGTGGGGACCACAGAAGGTTGGAGGTGTCACCCCTGGCCTACGCTCATCTCAGGCCATAGATCAACCCTGCTTGGGCACGGGGCACAACAGCGAACGGCATGTGGCTCATAGGGGCTGGGCTCTTACCTGGCTTGTCCAGGGAGGCTGGGGATCGGCTCCACTGCATCAGGGCTGTCACTGCAGGAGGTGGATGGGACAGAGATGTGAGGGGTTGGTGTGAGAAGGAGGCCCCTACCCTGGGCTTGTCCGCGGGGAGTCTTTTGGGGAGTCTGAACCTATCTAAGAGCTCAGGGAGCACCTAAGCCAGTCAACCTGAGCTTGGTCCATCCCTAACCCAGAGAGCCAGGGCTCACTCACGTGACAAAAATGGGGTAGATGAGGTTGGAGGCATCGAAGGTGGATGCCGTACACTGCCAGGAGCGTAGCACTGGGTGGAAGTAGCCACTGTGAAGAAGGGAGTCCGCCTGCATCTTGGGCCTTCGCTCCGAAGCTGTGGAAGGAGACTCTGAAACACCAAAAGTAACCGGCAGGTTAGTGGGAGTGTCTGGTAAGTCATGGCTGTGGGTGCATGCGAGGAGGGGGCCGAGATGCAGGCAGCCACTGCAGAACTGTCCCTGTCCTGCTCCAGACACAGGTGGGGAACACGAGCTCAGCCCAGCTGGCTTCAGCCCCGCTCTCCGGCGTCCAGCCCCGTGCCGGGTGGGTGTTGCAGGACTCTGTGTCGGCAGTCACAGCACAGCACTGCCCGTAAACAGCGATGACACCGACTCCTCCTCAAAAAACCTCCCGATTCCGATTCTGGGTGCAAAACCACCAATTTACAGCCACCAGCGTCCTCCTGCTGCAGAACCACGTTCACGAGGTTCAACACCTCCACCCTCCTCAGGCTCCCTCTGTTTCAGCTTGTGTAACTCTACTGGCAGTTCTCCAGCGAAGAGACAGTCATTGCTTAACTTGTTTTGCTTTTGCTTAACGCTGTAGGATTGCGGGATATGGCTTTTGTACCCGGAGCCGTCAACAGCCGCTCTGCGCAGCGCGAAGTATTTGTGCCCACAGCGTGCAGGTGCAGTTATGGAAGAGCACGGGCACCGGATCGTCCTCAAGACACCAGGGCTTTAAACCTCGTGGTCACACAACTCCAGCAGCCACTTACTTCTCAACAAAGAAAATTTGGGATTTGAGCAAAACTGATTTCGGTGGTAAAAAAGAGCAATTACTCAACATGCAGAAATCGTTAGCTGTGTTATTGTTGAAACTTTTTCCGTAGCCGTATTTTCTTTTCCTGTAACAGTTAGATCTAGTAACAATTCTGCAATGAGACTGCCAAGATTTCAATTTCCACTAGCACTAAATTCTCACCAACACGCGGTTGGTGGGAGCGCGGCGGAAGGGGCCGGGGGAAGGCAGCTGCCCCGGGATGAGGCGTTTGGCTGCAGCACAGGAGAGAGCAGCTGTTACGGCCCTGGGAAACGCAAGCGGGACAAGGGGCTGTTGGCACAGAGCAGCTTCAAGGACTTCTGATGGCTGCACACACAGGGCCACATCCCATAAACGCCCCGCGCAGAGGAGCCGGCGGTGCCCCAAGGGACAAACAGCAAAGTCCTTACTGCAGGCCACAGATTTTGTTTTGAGAGCTGAAGCCCGAGGGAGGTGGGCAGGAGGAGAGCTGGAGATGGGCTTCTAGAAGCACAAGCAGATTCCTCCGCTGGCACCTGTGGACATGGCAGGGCTTCTCCTGGGAGCCAGAGTGGACACAAGGAGGGGACCTGTCTCAGGAGGAGCAGCCCTGCGGTCCCCTGTCCCATTCCAGGAAGGATTCCCCAAGCAATAAGCCCCACTGACCCCCTACCTACACCCAGCTCTCTCTGGAGAACAGACAGAGCTCACAGCATCCCAGGACACAGCCCAGGGGAGAAAGTCTCACGCTGGAACCCACATCACCAGTCAGCAATGGAGCTGTGCAGGAGATGGCTCCATTCTTCTGGAAAACCTTTAATCTGAGGTGTTCACCTATTTTACAAGATCCTTCAGATATTCTAACGCTGAGCCAAATTCTCAGTCTGTATCAGGCGACCCCAGTGCACAGGGCACTTGTAATAAAGGGACATCATGTTCGGTCCAGGGCTTACTGGGTCCCTCGTAGCCCTGGCAATCACCTGTGCTTGGGGATGGTGGAAAAGGAACTTCTCAGGAACTTAGAGGCCTACACGTATAAAAAAAACAGTGGTGCTTGCGGGGGACGCAGACCAGCTGACGGGCATGCTGGCAGCGTCACGGCATCGCTTGGCAAGTCATTTTTAGCCTTGGAAAGCTGCCGCTCCAGTCCTCACTCTCAGGGAAGGGGACAGCCCTCGGGTGAACGGGTTGGCAGCCCCCAGCGCCCGGGCAGGGCTCTGGGCAGGGCTCCAGGCAGGCAGCAACCCAGAACAAAGGGCTCAGTGAACAAAACCCACCTCAAGAATCTAAAAAATGTTTTAAACAGTTAATCCCACAGGAGGAAGGGGATGGGGTGGGACCAGAGGCACCTGACTCTGTATGGAACAGATAGAGGCCACAGTGCCAGAAACTGCCCTCTCCGGGGAAGGAGGAGATGGGCACCCGGCAGAATTGCAGAGCACAGATAACAGCTGGGGCGGGTGGGCCCCCGCGGAGCACCCATCTGCTGCGAGGCTGGGGGAGCCGGGATCCTCCTCGCGAGCCCCACACAAAGGAGAAGCTGCTGGGCACAGGCTCTTGCCCACACAGGGCACCTGGGCGGACGAGGGCACTGGGGTCTTACAGCCACAGAGCTGGTGTGAGCCCCACGGCTGCCCGACAGCTGGGGAAGGATGGCAGGGATGCAGAGCAAGGATTTCAGGAGTGCCACAATAAGGGGACATGACACCATGTATGTTATGCCCTAGAACGGGGCTAGACAGGCTGAGAGAGTTGGGGCTGTTCAGCCTGGAGAAGAGAAGGCTCCGGGGTGATCTTATAGCAGCTTTCCAGTGCCTAAAGGGGCTACAGGAAAGCTGGAGAGGGGCTTTTGACAAGGGTGTGTAGTGACAGGACACGGGGCAATGGATTTAAACTGAAACAGGGTAAATTTAGATGGGATATAAGAAAAAAATGTTTCCCTCTGAGGGTGGCAAGGCACTGGACCAGGTTGCCCAGAAAAGTTTTGGCTGCCCCATCCCTGGCAGTGTTCAAGGCCAGGCTGGATGGGGCTTTGAGCAAGCTGGTGTAGTGGAACGTGTCCCTGCCCATGGCAGGGGGGTTGGGACTGGATGATCTTTGAGGTCCCTTCCAACCCAAACCATTCTGTGATGATTCTATTTCCCCCCAGCTCCCCTCAGGGCTCCCAGCAGAACACACGCGCCTCTTTCTCCAACATTAAAGGCCCAAATACGTATTTCTAAAGCAATTTGCTTCACGCGCACCAGAGCATCAGTACGGACAAATTTAGGAACAGCTCTGTAGCTCCCTCCCGAGCAAATTGCTCCAGAGCAGCGCAGCTTCATCTTTCCTCCTCCACGCTGGGACCGCTCGAGGACCAGCCCAAACCCATAGCACCCAAACCAAACCCACTGCGGTAAGCCAGGTGTGTTTGAGGAGAAGCAAGTGCAAACCGAGAGAACCACGCACACGCCGCGCTCCCGTTCGCACCAGCACAAACGGACCAAACTCAGGGGACGGGTGAAGCCAGACCCGACGCACGCCGACGGTGAGCTGCGCAGGTCCGCTCCGGCTGCTGACAGCACCGCCGAGCCAGAAGGCGAGATGCTTTCCGAGGAAAGTTGCTTTCCAGCATGTTGGGATACAGAATCACATGCACCTTCATCCTTTGCCACGCAATTAGTTACCTGAAGCCCTGGAGACACGCAAGCTTCCAAAATCCCAAGTGGGAGTGGGGATGGACTGGGACGTACAAGGAAAGCGGAGCTCCCCCAGGAGCGAGTTAATTACCAGTCATTAACAAAGGTCAAGACATTAATGAAAATTTCCTCTTCCAGGTGGGATCTGGAAGTGGGGATGCTCGGGGATGCCTGCGATCACACCGCGGGATGAGCTGGGGCTCCGGGCTGATGCCAACCCGCAGCATCACGGCTGTTTTCCGCCACCTTTGCCACGGGAACGGCGGGTTACCGAGCAAAAAACCGAGCT